AAATACTAAATCACTAAAACTAAGAGCAAACATAACAAAAAATCATGATTTTAGTAATGGAAAAAATAAACACAATTATTAGTTTATTTGTATTGTTTATATGTATCGCAATTAAGATTATTTGTGACAAAATAATTAGATACAAATAGTTTTTCTTTTGTAACATTTATATTTTGTCATAAAAACCAATATCTTTTAATGTGACAGAATTTTTAAGTTATTAATAATTTTATTTCAATTAAAAAATAATGCTCTAAAAATGAAATTTAAAAAATTTCCAATATAATTTTTAATATAAAATTTATTATTATTATTTTAAAATGTATATTTAATTCAAATAATTTTAAATAATAATAATTATTATAATAAAATATTTAGATGCCAATAATAAAATTATTTCGCCAAAGTCCAATACTTCAGGATTTCAAAATTTTGACTAATATATTTTAAATATTTCTTTATATAAAATATTTGTAGGCTATACTTTTCGTTTTTAAGCAATGTGAGATCTAGGCATTTCTTATACAGAGTGCTAATAGACTTTACTTTTTATTTTTAGATGGTGTAGGATTTTTTTATTTTACAATTTTACTCATATACCAATAGAAGAATAAAATATATATAAAATAAAAATAAAAAAGAACTCATTCAAATAAAAATAATAATATATTACATACTTGTATCGAAAATACAATTATCAATTTATTTTGAACGATAAAAGTTAATTTTTGTTAATATTTAGAGTATAAAATGTACTCCTAAACTCTGATGACCATATTACTTCTAAATATATGTATAACACATGGTTATTCTTAATCAATCACAATGATCATACATAAACAAACCAATTCACTTCCCAATTCCCACTCTTCTCTCACCCTCTTATTTGTGGTTAATCTCAAGTGTTGGCAAAAAACTTTCGGACAGTTACACAACATAAACCCCTCACAACTTCAAACACTTTCTCCATAAGGCATAGGCGACTTGATAATAGAAACAAATTATGAACATTTTCAATTCCATCACCACATATTTCACATTTTGTCAAGTTGTAATTTTACAAAACCCCCCTCTTGAATTAATTATGATTGTTAACTAAATGCAATTTCACTTATGAAGTTGTTGGTGCAAGTATACTGTGAAAGTATGGTCTCCCTATATATGATTATGCACATGTAAGGTATTTTTGGTGCATGTTGATTACTTTTTTCTCTATCTATATGCTTGAGTGAAGTAACTTTTTGTAAGGTTAATAATAGCACAGGGATCCAATTTTAATGTCATTCTATTTGTAAGGATAAAAGTATCTCTTATTCTTTAATAATAAAATTTGTTGTTCAAAGTAATTAATAAAAAAACTCCGTAGGAATGTATATTTCTTTGGGTTTGTTGTAAGAAATAATTAAATATTTTATGAATAGATGATAAATAAGATATTGAATAAAGTTAGAAGTACCTTAATTCATCATGGTTTTTATTGTATTAGAGGAATAAAAAAATTATTTGAGAATAAAGAAGTACGAGGTGCACATTTTTTAAACTAATTTAGTTGAAAATTTATATTTTAATAAAAAAAATTTTCACTAATATGTGATTGCTATTATTGTTACATTTTTTTTTTCAAATTCAATTATAGCCTAATTGTGACAGAAAATTTTGTTATTTATTATGATTTTTGTGACAAATTGTGTTTATTATCACAAAATGTAATTGTTACGAATGAAAAAGTTTAATCATAAATAAAATTTGGTATATGTGACAAAAATTAATAGTTTATAACTAATATTTTATTAGTAATTAATAATTAACTTACAATGACGATTTTAATTGTAAAAAATTTATGTTATTTATTGTGAAAATTTTTTTGTAATTGAATATAAGTTTTATGTCAAAATTATATATATATATATATATTTGAATTTCAAAAATTAGTATTAGAAACCAATATCTTGAATTAATTACAAATATAAAGGATATTAGTGACAAATTAAAAATTAGTCACTATTTTTAATCACAAAAAGTCCATCTTCTTGTAGTGAATGAAGAATTTGGGAAAATTTTGCATCATAGAAGGTGCAGGCATATGATAATAAGGGAATAAAACAATTCAGGACTAAAGCATTTAAGTAATTACTTTGTAACATAATTAATTTAAAATAAATTAATGCAAAAAATATTTATTTATCTTATAAATAAAAAATAACAATTAATTTAAAATAAATTTAAAGTTGCAACATGATTGTGTGAAACGTGGACCAGGCGTTGTGGACCTTGTGGTAGTCTGGCGGACAGGCAACGTTGACGGCCTGCTCACGGCACTGTCGAAAACGTCATATGGACAGCCGTTGAGATCGACCGACGAAATACACAAGCTATGTTCTGGTTAGTTTATCACACTTACGAATTAGAGTCTTGGAAACTTTTTCACCGACGTGAGAGTAAGAGTACTTATATATTAAATACATTCACATTCTCTTATGAGACTTGGAACGTTATGGTTGTTGTGAAATTTCGATTGTTACAATATCTTTTACTTAAATACTTATGTCTTTACTAAGA